AATGCCTTTTAACAGAAATTATGTGAAACTACACATTAAGTGTTAGAATCGAAACCTGGATTTTTTTGTAAACACATTTAAATTCATCAATGCAAAATGCTGTCTGACGAAAGGGCTAAGAATAAAAGAAGTGAAGCATTCAGAGGCTTTTGCACTTTAATATACCTTCATCAACTTCTCAAATCATTAAAGTCAAAACTTTCTTCCTGTACTCCCATTTAAATCTTGAACACATGGAAACAAAACTAAAAAGGTTTAAACAGAGCAGTGAGTTACTTTACACAGCAATAATCACCCAAAGACATTTCCCTATTCTGATCAAGTTAGAAATAGCAAAAATCAAATTATTTAATAAGCATATATCCAGACAACTAAGCCACAGACCACATGATAGGAATTTTGCTTCGGCAAGGCACAATCTAAATTTAAGCTGAAGATTAATTTTACAGAAACAATGCTCACTCCCCCAGCTCATTCCCAACCTGCTCCGTGGACAGAACAGTCTGCAGTTCTGGGATGTTACTTAATGCACAAGAATTGCCAGACCAGTAAGTCCTCAGCCTCCAGAACTAAGGAGCACAACAGTGGGGGCAATTTTTCAAAGGCAGTGTCTAACTAGACTTTCAATGACAAAGATGGAAAGAAAGGTCCAAAATTCCTAGATCAACACTCCCCAACGTTCAAATGCAACACATATTTCTAGTATCTTTTGGCTATGTCTCCACATCTCAGAACACCAATCCATCAAGTCTATCTCACTTTTCTTACTAACCTTCCAGCTCCCTGGTCAATCTAGAAATCCAAGTGATAACATCACCAGCTAAGAACTAGGCCAGGGAACAAGGAGAGAGTCGTAGCAGCCACCAAAACCATTCCATTCTTTCTACACAGTTAGGAAACCAATGACCCTAGGAAACCAAGGTTTAATTCAGGACCAATAACAGGATGATTATCCTTTGATGGAACTATTTTGGAGAACATCACGAAAAAAATAAATGGGTGGAGGGTACTGCGTAAATTAGAATCCTCGACATACCTCTCCGAGGAGGGAACCTGAACCCTGCACCTAAGGACACATTACCAGAAATACTCCGACGTGAAAATTAAAACAGAAGACAGTTCTCCTTAGGGGAGAAACCAGGACAAGAGTTAAGTGGGCACAGGAGCAGGTTGTCTATTAAAAGCACACCGCAACCAGCTTGCCTGGCCAGGAGCCCTTTTGCAGGGTAAAAGGTGCTTAGAACACACAGCCCTCCCACCTGGGGACCCAAACAGGAGCACCACGAGCAGCAGCAGCAGAAGCAAGAGCTAAACACGGCCCCCAGGTCAGCTCACCCATATCCAATGTTCACGGAAAGGATGCACAGAAGAGAAATCTCACAAAGAACCAGAAGGCACGAGTAAGAAGTGTAAGGCACACAGAGGCACACCCCCCGACACACACACTCACACAAATGCACACAAAGAGGAAAGCAGGAGATCGAGGAAGGCGACTTTATCCTACCTTCTCAGTTTTCAGTTTCTTGATTCGCCTGTGGCTCTCCTCCTCCTCCTCTTCCTTCTTTACCAACATAGAGTTTCCCATGAGCCCTGAATCCGGGGCACTTTTGCTAACTTCCCCAGCAGCCGCGACGCTGCCACTCCCAGTGCCCCCGCAGTGGAAGGGGCTCGCGCCACCTCCATTGCTCTTGGCCCCAAAGCCATAGAGGTGCCCCCCGGGAGGGGCCTGGCTGCCACTGCCATTCTGGTGGCCCTGAAGCAAGTCGTGCTTGTCCTTCCTGGATTTGCCCGCATCCTTATCCCGCTTGGCGCCTCGGCTGCTCTGGCTTTTACCTGGCTTCTCCTCTTTGCTCTTCCCACAGGCGGCCGCCCCCGCGGTAGCAGCGGAGGTGCCGGTGCTGATACTATTGCTGTTCGGGTTGCCGCCGCCGCCGCCGCCGCCGCCGCCGCCGCTCACACTTTGACCCAGCGCTGAATTCATGCCAGTTGCCTCTCCAGGGCGCCCTTGGACTTCCTGCCTCTTGCCAGTGCCGCTGATCTCGGGAATCCCATACAAGGCAGCAGAAGGCAGAGATTTATTAGCATCCTTAGAAGTTTTACTCCTTTTCACTTTTGATTTGCTGGTCTCTTTGTGTGAATTCCCCTGGGGAGCCGAGGGCTGAACAGAAGCAAATTTTAGGCCATCAGCTAAGGCTGCGGTAGCGCCGGCCCCACTGGAGGCCAGACCTCCACAATCCTTAGAGCTGCTGCTGGTAGTGGTGTTGGTGGAATTATTCATTTCAAATTTCTGTCTGTCCTTCTCCAAATCAGCGTCCAAATCAATTATTAAATTTCCAACCCCGATTTCCCAATCATCGCCACTGTCATATGTATCAACCGTATTTGGATCCACACCTTTTCCTGACGTAGAAATGTTCACTGACATCCTGAAGATGAGCTCTCTAGAATAAAAATCCGATGAACTTTCCTTTGGAGATGAGGGGACATTCGTTTAGCTCCGCTGGGTTTTCTCTTAAAAAAAAAAAAAAATCTTCTAATCTTCCTCTTCTTTTTCCTGCCCCAGGAATGTGTCCAGGGATTTTACACCCTTCAGTCCAGGTCCACCTTTTCCTGTGAAGGGGGGAAAAGTCGAATATTTCTTGTCTGGGTGTTACCAGAATAAAAAACGATTAATATTGGGGAGTCAGTAAGGGGTACAGGGAAGGATGGAGAGTAAGGTGGCTCATGTATTGTCTCCACAGTCCAATACCAGGTTTAAAAGAAAATAACCATACCCGAAAAACATACCCATGCCAGTAAGCATCTTACAGTAGCTACAAAAGAAAAGCCCTTTATCAAGAACACAAGGATAATCACTTCTTAAAAGGCATTAAAATATCTTAAGGATCTGAGTCAACTCCAGAAAGGTTTTAAAAAAGAGTTAAGGATTTTTTTTTCTAGAACATACATATAACTCAACCCCAGAAACACAGCCTGAACACTCAGACAAGAGGAAGGAACACACTTCAAACATCCTTAAACATGTCCTAGATCTTGCAGTTTAAAAGACCAGACCCTGGAAGTTATCTGAGGCCAGTTTCAGAATGATGTTACTAAATTTTCTTCATTTCTAATTTTATTACTTGTTTTTACAAATTGTCTGGGCAATCTGTATTTTGTTCCCAGTAAGGAACAGGAAAAAAATCCAATAATCTCCCCCCTCCATACAAATATTCCCCTCCTATCCTTTCTTCCCCAACAGTTTATACAATTTTATTTTTGAAATATACACACACATGTCTTTAAGAGCATTTCTCTATTTAAAAAAAAAAGTGTTAAATGAAAGGCTAAATATCTGCCTTTTGAAGAAAAAAAATCACATCTAAACAATTCTACCGTATTCCCAGGTCACAGACTTGCTCAAGCTGTTAAATATGGTGCTACTGACTGTACAGGCAACTGATTAAGACATACACTTTAAGTGATCTGCGCCAAGGTGGCCTCAATGACCGCAAATGAGTGTGTGTTTGACAAAGATCAGTTAAAACGGTTTTAAAAGGGATCAGCCCCTTTTTAACAGTTGATTGTCAAGAAAAAATAAATAAATATACATACACACACACACACAGACATTGCTTACCTTTAATCCTTTATCATTTTTTAATTAGGCCAGCAAATCAAAATGCCTTTCCCACTCCACTCGGCAAACAAGCCTGTGCCTCATTTTACTTAAACACCAAATGATCAAGAAGGAAGGAACCAAATAACACATCTCAGCCAGAATAATCACTCGATAACATTATTCCACCTCCCCACCCCCCCTTTTGGCAAACGGATCAGTCCTTTTCTCCTTAAAAAAAATGTGTCATTGTACAGCTGGAAGATAATGTTTCACATTCACAACAGAAGCACCAAAGGGTTTTTTTCCCTCTTAACAAGCATCGAGAATAATAGTTTTTAAAAAAGAGAGAGCTTAGAGAAAAAAGTTTTCCCAACTTCTCATTCCGCCTTCAGTTCCAGACTTCAGAGTCACCGTGATCAGTAAGTAATGATCCCATGTAGCAAACCTACAGGCGTCCGCTAGTAACAAGACAGAATGTGCTAACATCGGGATAAATTAGTGAAAGGGAAGAAAGAATAAGAAGAAAGGACTGAAAATCTGGGCTGGATTCCGCCTGTTAGTCGGGAAGTGGCATTTTTCCGCCCGTCCTGACAGATTTGATTTCTTGAACTAACTTAAGAGGAAAGGAGGGGGACGTGGGGTGGGGGGGCAGTTATGGAGTGGGGAAGAGGAGGAGGAGGAAAGGGTGGGATGAGAAAACGAGCTAGAGGAGAAAAAAAAGGGGGGGAAGCAGATGATTCAGTGAACTGATAAACCAGTTATAACAGCATTCGCTCGGGGCGGGGGGCGGCAGGGTGGGGGAAATAACGGCGTTTAAAATTGGTTCAGTCTTCGAAACCTAAAGGATGTGATGTTTTCCTGTTTTATGTTGTTTCAAGAAAAAGGAACCGAGTTCCTAGTATAGTCCCTGAGGGGGAAAAAAAATCCGCTGTCGCTCAAGCCAATCAGTCATGTGGTAATTCGATAATTAGAGTCAAAAAAAAGATTTTTTTCTAAGGCGACCTTTTTCAGGACAGTTTTTCCCATTTATAGTCGCGGCAAACGGTGCGTCTCCCTTTTACTTATTTTTCTCTCCTCCTCCTCCCTCAGCCACCCCCTCCTGTGTTTAGTCAGATGGCCCCGGAGCTTGGCTTAGTATTTTTAATTAGCTGGCGTTTGGAAGCTAAAAGCAGTAATGAATTGTTGATGGATTGGAAGTGGAGAGTCGCTTTGCTGGAAATGTCGGGGCTGGGAGAGGGGGATGGGTGAGTTAGCAACAACCAACCATCTAAAAGGAGCGATTTTGTTACAGTGCAAGCCTTTCACATCACGTGAGGATCAAGGGCTCAATTGGTTGTCGTGAGAACAAAAATGGTGACAAGCGTATCAAGAAAATACTGATCTGGTCTTTAAAAAAAAGCTGAAGGTCTCTCCCCTCCCCCTGCACACACTCTCCCCCCACCCCGCCACCCCCCCCTTGCAGTGGGAGCAGCTACAAGTTATGAATGTGAAACATTTCTCGCAGATCTAGGCTCTCGGAAGTTCGGAAGGAGTGAAATGTAATGAGCACAAGAGCAAAGCAGATGTTTTAAAGAAACACCTTATAAACCTTTCCTCAACTTATCTCCAATTTGTCGGTTTTCCCAAGGGGCCAGGGATGGGGACGACTAGGCGAGGGGGGAGGGCACCGCCAAGCTACTCGGACTTTAGGGATCCCCCACCCCCGTCATGTCTTAAACAAAGAAAAACATTTTGCTAGCTCCCAAGCCAGGTCCTGTAATAAACACACCATTGTTACTATCTGTGGGTTTGTTTGGGTTGGGTGGGGCTTTTTTTTTTTTCCCTTAATGGTGTTTTTGCTGCTTGCTTTTTTAAGGAGGTGGAAAATGGTAATTATAACCATTACATGTAATGGGTGACTATTCCCTTGTTTAATATTAAATTATTGGGCACTAGATGTGACAAGAGACAGAAATCGACTTGTTCTGCCCTTGCCCCCATTTTCCTGGCTCGGTTTGGAAAAGGGTCCTGCCCAACTAGGATAGGAGAGGGAGGAGTGAGGTGCGCTAGAGAATGGACACTGCATATCAGGATTTGTAACTGTGTCACTTTTATTCTCCTTGGGTTAGAGCCCAAAAGGTAATTTACTCTAAGTTACCCCGAGTGCCCAGTCAAGCTTAATTTGTGTGAAGAAGTTACAAATGCTTCACCCTGCACTGAATAAAAATTCACCCTTCTTGGGTTGTTGTTCTCAATGCAAAAGCCAAACCCTGTAACTAGTTCCTCATTTCAATGCATAAAACTCGCACATTCCCCTGCATGAAGTCCCCGCTAAGTGCTATATAGAGACACACCACGCAACCGTACTTACGGTCTGTATTGGATCGAGTTGACCTTTTCCTTCTAACTGCATTGAATGTGTTTGGTTGCAGCCGCTTTATTTTGGAAATTATAATCTCTTCAACAAATTTATTATTAAAGAAGATGGACCATCAAATGTCACAGACCGTCCTGTGTATTTTTTATAAAAGCAAAAATTAAAAAAGAAAAGAAAAGAAAAGAAAAATCCCCCTGGTGCACACACACAAGCTTGTTCTGCAACACTGAAATCAGGACTGAAACACAACACACACAGGGGGAGTGGAGCAAAAGGAGCTCTCAGCCTCTATACCTGAAAGGGACTTTTCTTTGTTCCCATTGCCCTTTCTCATCCGGCCAATCAGAGAGCAGCTTTTATGAAACTGGGCTCTCTCATTGGCTAGCTGCTTTCTCTTGGCTACTGTAGGGGGTTGAGATATACACACGTATAAAACACACACTGAGAGCGGGTGGGGGTGCGGTGGGGGGTGGTTGTGGAGACAAAGCGTTTTATTTTCCAACCAGATTGGGGTTGAGGAACCTCCTGCAGTAAGATGAAAAAAAAAATGGTGCGCCCGTTTCAATTACTACATCATTCACATAAAACACTTATTTATTAAAACAAATCTCAAACAGGCTGCGAGGAGAGGATGTCGGTAAATACAAGTTTGACTGTGTTATCTTGGGGGAAATAATGTATGTGATCGCTCGGTGGCTGAGGGAAGCCAAATGAGCCACTAGCGCGTAGCTTGGAGAGAAGGGAGACTGGCCGTACGAAGCGTTTTGCTGGCTTCCCTTCCGCGTTGCAAGGATTCGGCAGCGCGAACTCCCAAGACTGATTTTCTGTATTGCAGCTTCTGGCTTTCAACCCTCCCCCACCACTTTACTCTTCTTCCAATTTTTTTTTCCCTGTGTCTCTCATTTTACTTGCTGATTAAATAAGAAAAATCGATCTAGGGGTGAAGGCGGTGGTGGGGAAACAAGTAACCCTTTTGTTTCCAGTCTTCTGGTCCACAAGCAATGAAGTGTGAATGCTGGCAACCATTTAACCACAACTACGTGAAAGGTTCTTCCCTGGAATCAGTAACAAGGCTTTTCCACCTTGTCCTCAGCAGCTCCAAAAAAATAAAAAATAAAATAAGGTCCCAACCAACAATATTAACACCTCGGGCCAGCCTCATTTAAAAAAAATCTATTTAGGGGAGATAAATACACTAGGAAGATTAACTCGTTAAACAGTTCCAGTACTATTATTAAACCAAGCGATTCTGAGAGTTCCCCTTACCCCAAATCTTTAACACTATCGGGAAGAGGCGGGTGTCAAAGTCCTCTGAACCCTGCATGGTGCAATCCACCAAGAACACAAAAATATTTTAGAATTTATTGTAGGACAAATGCCAACAACCAAGTTAATGAGACTCTGAGGTCACAGGACAAGATAGGTTAATATGAAGTAACAAGTTCAGCATTTGTCCTGTAACAGCTAATATACTTAAGCTAATGTATTTATATACATTAAGCCCTTAGAGTACTTTTAGTTTGAATTTTTCATCGTTATTTTCTATCACTTTTAGGAGCTGTAATATGGAAAATTTTAAGTCAAAGGGTACTCTGAATATATTTGAAAGCGTCATGATCCCAAGTTTTAAAGACCCAGTACCACTGGCTTTGTAATTTCCACATGACAATTGCAATTTAAGAATGTGTCTTAACTGAGTCAAATGGACATACAAAGTGAATTAGAGCTAGCAGAAGGTAGCTTATGATGTAAATATTCAGCGATGACTTTGCGGATCAATAAAAATATTTATGTCACATGTTTTAAGTAATGTCTATTGATTCGCGTTTGAGCTTTCAGTATATTTAGTTCATTTTTTAAAAATGCCAATTAGTTGTTTCACTACCCAAGATGAACTAGATTTGATGCTGCAAATAGTAATATACAGCAGTTTCCATCCTTCACTGGGGTATATAAACTAGAGGAATGCAGTCTATACTAGTCCTTCCAACTTCCTAAATAGACTGACATTCAAATCAAAGCCACACATTAACAAATAAAATGGGGCAAATTAGATATCTGATATCCACTTCTCCTCTATTTAACTTTGATATTTGTTTTATATTTTTGAATGTACAGATTTTACCATTTGTGTGTGTCCCACTGATAACGGGAGATACACATTAATTTTTAACTTGTCTTCTTTTAGACGAGTGGTCCCTCAATGGACCAGATCATTCTTAGGCACTTCCTGTGTCCCTGGAGTATCACCTACATTTCAGCCTTTAGAAGCGAAGCCCCTGGCTATCCCATATGTTATATCAGCTTGGAAAAATCAATGATTAGCTCTTAAAACAACTGGACTTGGAAAGAACTGATAAAGTTTGAAAAGGTAGAAGCACTCCTCCAACACACTTCCTTGGAAAAAGCAAATCACAGGGTCTGCAGCATAGATTTAGTGTAACTAAAACCAAGTTTGGGCTTCTTAGTACTTAAATAATCTAATCTAACCTTAACTTCAACAACTAACCCTAATTCTTAAACCTTTTTAATAAACCCCACTCGGTCAAAGATAGAGGCGTATGACCAATTCAATCACATCTTTAACCCAAACCATTTTTGATAAACTAAAGCATTTTCCTTCCATACCAACATCTCCACCCTCCATTTGCACCCCACCCCCACCTCCTGCCCTCCAAGTTCTGCCAGGAGACTTGAATTGTTATGCTGACTTTGTGCATGTTTGTTTTGTTTTGTTTGACAAAGGGGCCAATCAAGAGACAGCAGAGGGCTATCAGCTAATTGATGAATGAAACGAAGATAATTAACTACCGGCTTAGAAAATCAGAGCTACTCCCCTCACAAAATTGGGAAAATGTTATCTTCATCTCTTACCAGAATAACAGGGAGCATACAAGTCCGAGAACTAATGTCTACATGTGTATACTTGATCATACTAGTACACTCTCGTATAATATGCATACTCTGTAATTTCACATTTTAGTGCCTGGCTACTCAGAGATGTGGTAGAGGGGAGGAACTGTCTGGAAAGGAGTCTAGGAGGAGTGAAGGTGTGGGAGGAGCACAAGGATAGTGTAAAGGGAGCAGTTAGAGCATGCTATCCCACCTCCAATCACCACCACCACCAGCTCTGCCCCTGCACATACTGCTTCAATTACTAGGTCATTAAAAGGTCCTGGCACAAGACTTTTACCCCTTTTTAAGGGCAGAGAGCTCAATGCTGAGGCAGCCAGGGGCTTCAGGCACTAACAGAAAAACACGGTGGTCTTTCTTCAGTGTCGTTTCCTCTGATTTGTGGTATATTATTAAGGATCAGAAATAAATTCTGGAATTTTTTTTTGGAAGGGAGCCTATACCTGGCCGTGGCTTTTCTAAATCTATGCCAACCTTGACACTAGAGAGTTACTCAAGACCAAGGGGAAAAGCAGAAAGCAAAGCTAAAAAAATTAAAACCTACCTGGAAATGGGCTTAATTTATGGGAAAAGGAACTTAATTTGGACATAACGAGAAAACTTCTGGCTGCTCAAGAAGATTGTGAAGAAAGACTCTTTATCTGTCTGGGGTTGTTTATCAACAGACCTGCCTCAATGCTGTGGGGAGGTGACCTGACTGGGTTTTTAGCGAAAATGGAGTTGGTGATTTATTAAGACACCCACACAAACACTAGACCATTCTTCCCTTTACCTAGGAGTAATCTCCTAACTTCCTACCTAGGAAAGGTCTTTCAGAGGAAACTCTCTCTGCCTTTTCATACATGTTTACTAAATCCAATTCAAGTTTCTGTGGAGGATCCATCTCTAGACAATTGTCCCCAAAAAGAGGTGAGCAGTGTTCTTGGTCAAACATTGGTCGTTTTTGCAATATCCTGAAATATCAATGGACCAAAGTGCCAAGAAGCAGATGTCAAATGGAGAGAGAGGACCCAGCACAGAAATACTGCAGATCCTAAGAGGGGTGCGGGGTGGGGGTGGGGCGCTAGGGAAGAAAGACACCTATGGTGTTCACCCTGCCATGGACTCATCGTGGAAGATTCTCAGACATTCTGATATACATTTTGTGAATACAGACATTTACACACATTGTATAATGTTATAACACTGAGCTGTGTTAACTTTTCAGGTCATTTCCTTGCCCTATTAGTTCACATTCCATTTAAGCTCCTTAGAGTAGAACAGAGGGGCCCTGCATCCAAGGAAGGAGAACAATGTCTATCTATCTCCAAAGATCTTTCTAACATAGTTTTGCTTAAACAAATTGAAATGATATAAAGCACATTTTCCATGCTCCAATTCATGGCTACAATAAATTTAATAATGAAGAAATGTATTGTTAAAGAAGGAGGAGCTTTTCCCTTTATGTACAGGTATCTATCCGTTCCTCCTCCCAATCCTCAAGCTGAAAATAATCCCAAAGGAAAAGCAGCAAATCATGTCCCTTTTATGCCATACAGTCCTAGGGAACCCAGTAAAATATTGCAAAGCAGCACATTCTTCTAAAGGAAAGCATTTGTATACTGCTCACATGGAGAGAACGCGATGTAGGTCAGTGTTAAGTGTCTGAAATTTTACCTCCCCTTGGCCCAGCCCTTACAGTGTGGTGTGCGCTACTACATCTGAACCGATGCCCAAGCAAGGTCTGCAGATCGGTTAGCAAAGTAAGGCAATTTTCATCGCATGTAATGAAACCATTTCTGGAAAAGGGTTTTTCTTTTATGCCAGTGGAGACTGGGTGCAAAACGAAGATCAAAACACAAGCTACATTTTTAAAAAACTACTTATTGGAGATTGCTGTTGTTGGTTTTATTACAATATGTATTTTACAGATTTAGGTAATAGCCCTGATTTTTCAAATCGACCTCTGTTTAGACATGTTTCACTTTGGGCTGTTTCTTGTCTGCAAAATTACAGTCATTTGCACGTTATTACAGTGAGTAGGAGACAGATTGTATTTAGCATTGGGTGGGGGAAGGGTTATTATGGGAAGTGATCTGCTACGGTCAGCACATAATTTCAGCCTGAAGAAAATTGCTTCTGAATGGCTGGTCTGTTAGCTAGCCAAGGAATGGTCACTGGGAAAGATTGAAAAATACTTCTGCTTAATCTGCATTATGGAATTATTCTCATTTCCAGAAAGATTGTTTGTGGAAAGAATGAATGTAAAACCAACATTTAAAACGTGGACGTGCAATGTTGTCATTGCTCTATTTGATTGTAAAACAACAACTAAAACAAAACACAAACCAACAAGCAGGAGAGGGCCAAAAGGCAGCAGGGTACCGCCGTGTTCTGCTCCATCTTTCCACCTTGCCTCCCATTTTCCCCTTTCCTCTTTTGTCATTTTAAAAAATTACTATGACTTAATGACTGTGGATATTTATATATGTGTAAACGTTTGTGAGAATGTATCTTGCTTTCATATAGAATGCAATAAAAAGATTTCCTAATAGAGCTTTCTTTTGGAGATTAGCAGAATCCCCTTAACTGTCAGAGAATTTCATATACTTTTGGTCCTAGGACTTAAGAATTTTCCCACACTTTACAAACTACATTATATTTGTGCATATTTCACAAAGCTGACAGATTCATAAAGCAAAGATGATGCTTATCAGAAATCGTAACCCCGGTCAAAATTATAATTTAAATTAAACCCTTAGGAATCTCCTTGGAAGTCTTAACATACTTGGTTAGAAAAAAATCAGGAGACTTAAGTTCATTTTAAAGAAAAATAAAAGAGTACTTTTATACTCAGTTCCTTGGCTGCTGAGTATCACTTTTGTTGTGAACAACTGTGCCTCTTTTGTTTTCAAAACAAGCTTTCCTAAAGGATGAATCACTACAATCATTTGGAGAATATGCAATAAACAACAGAAAGCCAGAAAGTTGTTTTGCTATTTCTCAGCAGAGCATTTCCGTCCCATCCTCAGCTCAGCTGAGCCACCAGTCCACCAGCCAATCATCATTATGGAAATATGGTTCTCAGCCTTCTGATTGGCTGACTCCTGGGCCAGTATGTTCAGGTTTCTCTACAGCTCCACGTGCACTGCAAGCCAGCCTGCTCTATGGACTCTCTCCTTCCAAAAACATTTTAATCACCTTTTTGTTTCTTTTCCTTTCTTTTCTTTCCTTGTGTCTTCCTTTTTCAAGATTCTTAAAATCATCCAGGGAAGAACCTTGGTTTTTTTTGTTGGTTTTTTTGTTTAGTTTTGCTTTATTTTTAAGCACATTTAAAATGTAATGATCATATTTGGGATTTGCTACAAATATAAGTTAAAGTACGGCAACATTTCTTTTAACCATAGTTTCCTTTTTTTTTTTAAAGATAGCTCACAATATTTTTTTAATCCTTCACTTGTGCTTTGTTTTTTCTTTTGGGGGGGGCAGTAATTACGTTTATTTATCTATTTAATGGAGGTATTGAGGGTTGAACCTAAGACCTCGTGCATGCTAAGCATGCACTCTCTCACTGAGCTATACTGTCCCCACTCTTCTAACGCTATTGCAATGTTTTCTGTGTCTGTGGGTTCTTGTGGTGTTTCCTTTGATTTTAGAGGAATTCCCACAAAAGTTAAATGAACAAATTGTTCTGACATGTGCTTTAGTTTTTACATCTTAAACACTATCTATCCCAACTAGAATTTTTTCCTCTGAGATTTAAAAAATTTAAAATATGAAATTAAAACACTTCTAGTTTAATACTGAAAAGTAGTCATGTCAAACCACTTTTAGGAGCAAAGGAGAAAAAATATATTTATTCATAATTAAGGCATCATATCTATAATTTTTTAAATTGTTTAAAATTTACATGATTATCCCCCCCAAATCCATGAATGCCGTAAGCATACACAACTTTTTCAAACTTAAAATAGGGTTCTAATTTAAGATAGTGAATAATAATAGGAAATATATCTGTGACCTACCATGTTCCAGAAATCTCTTCTTAATTCTTCGTATGTGTTGATTCATTTAATCTTCATAGCTGCCCCCTGAGGTGTCATCATCAGATGAGGAAACTGAGACAGAGAAAAAATAAGAAGCTTTTTCAAGTAGCAAAGCCAAATCTTGGGGGAGCCAAGATTTAATGTAGGAAGCCCAGCCTGAGTGTGGATGCTTAACCACTGCCCTTGACTGCCACCAAAACATGGCTCCAGACAACAGTGAATGTAAAATATTTTTAAAAATTACTATAATGGGTAGCAGAGTGAGGTTAAAAATGACATGACTGCTTATTTTTGAGACTAGCAATATGTATATACACTGGATCATAATATTCTTTATGTAATACACACATATATATTTGGGAATTTCTCTAATAAAAGTGAAAGAAAAAAATCTACTAGGTCTTAGAGAAGGAAGAGCTATTCAGAAACACAATTTATTCCTTGGCTTTGGAACATTTTTGGTGTTAACCCAATAGGGTAAAATTGTCTCAAAGGATAATGCTGTGTATACAAACAAGCAGCAGATTATACTTGCTTCCTACCATTTGTTTACTCACTGTTTTGTTTGTTTGTTTGTTTTAGGTCAAATTCACTTGCTGGGCCATATATGGTAAAAATCTGTAATGTTCTGTTTATATTTTCAATATGCACTTGGGAGACTATTTGAACTCTTTGTAACTTTCTATATAAACTATATTTCAATAAGGAAGGAAAAAAATAAATCCCATATAGAAATATACTCAATAGAAATTAAGAAATGAAGATTTAATATTTCATTATAAGTATATTACACACTGGGAGAAAGAAAAACTTTGGTAATTTAGATTTCTTCAGTGCATGTTTTCTATCTTATTCAAAGAAATTGAGTTGTAGAAATGAAACCAACAGTTCAGACATAGAATTGAATTCTTTAAATAAAATAGCAAATATAGTGAAAGACACTATATAAGCCACATTGAACAGAATTAGACTAAATGAAGGGAAAAATGTTTAATCTTTTCACAAAGAAGGCTATGACACTGAGATTAAAAAGAGCATTGAAGAAGATGAAATCATGGTAACAGCCACTATTCTTAACAAATAGGGTATAATTTTGTGAAATAATGAGATTATAACACAAGGAGTCACTGATAAAACTGTTATAGCAGAAAATGGATAAATCATTAAATATAATGAGATTTAACTATCGCTGTGAGAGAAATGATATGTAATTAGAAAAAGGAACAGAATATAAAAAGAAAGCAATGTTTCTATCTACGGTTCCACATTACTGAAAGTCCAGTGATAAAAGAGGAAAGTATTTCTGAGTCTATTAATAAATTATGGACATAATTATCATTAATTATAATAACAATAGTCCTCTCAAATCCAAACTCATGTCCTAACAACCTATAATTTTACTTAACAAACACCTGTATAGTACTTACTCTGGGAAGGGCACTGTGCTAAGCATTTTACAAATATTAACTCATTTCCTGTGATTCAGCTTGAGATATTCATTCAACAAACTTCTATTATGTTATACAGGTTCACAGAAGATACAAAGAGGAATAATACATCATCTCTGTTCTAGAGATGCTTCAGATTTCATAGCTGAGATGAGACACTTGCCAAACTCCAGAAAGGACTTAATTTAGGATAGTAAATACAAGAAGCATTCCTTTGGAGAAGAAGAGCTAGTGTTACGTAAGGAATGAGCATAGGCCCTAGGGCAGAAGGAGGTCAGACTGTGGTCCCACAGTAGGACGGAGGTGGAGGGAAGACCACACCAGGAAGAGGAGACACAATGAGCACAGATGGAGAGGCAAAAAGAACAGAACAGCAGAGCTAGTCCAGCTTCGTTAGGTCACAGGGACCCTGAGGGGGAGGAATGGAGGTCGGGCTTGAGGTTGCAGCCTTACTTTAGATGGGGCCATTATGAACCCACGCAGAGGTGTTCTGGTGAGGGAGCAATGGAAGCTGGCATCCAGCTCATGCTCTGCTCACCAAGCTAGGTGCCCTGGCACTGAGCTGCATCAGCCTGAGAAAGGGCGGCCTTTTATAATGTATAAAAGGGTGCTCTCAGCCAGACTGGACTGGAGGATGGCCTTTATCCCCTATGAAGAAGAGTTTAAATTTATCACAAGGCAATGAATGACCTAGCTTTAGTACACCTATGGAAAACTCTTCAAACTCTTATAAGTTAATTTACAGTCATATTCATATATATAAACAAAAGGTAGTCAGAAAAGGACCAGAAACTAATAAATGAATTATATCATCCATCATCCATGATGCCTGGCAGAGTTCTTGGAATCAAATGTTCAAAAAATGTTTGTTAATTTAATAAACTTATATCGAACTTCTACATGGGGGACAGTAGAAAAGATTCCCCCAAAATGTAGGGGATCATAAGGGTTAATGAGCAGCTCAAGATGTCTTGAAATAATATTCAAGTCAACAAGTATATTTAGTGGACAAATGACAACAATAAATATGCAATAAGCCAACTCTGAACTTAAAAGCTCTCAACTTAGAAAGTACAATTTCTACAGGAACCTACTATAGCCAAATTAAATAAACTAACCAGAGCAGGGAGAGGTCTTTATGAATGAAAACCTGTTGAATGATAGCTCTTTATGAATGAAAACATGTCGATAGAAGCCAAAGTTAATGTCAACAAACAGAACATAGGGTCAAAAATGGTCTCCCTAGAGAACACCAACATTGAAATTTGCAGCAGAAAATGTAACTGTTTGAATGATGAATGAGTGAGCAGAGAGATTAAAAAAAAAAAGCAACAGGTCAGGGATACATCTGAGAAGGAGAGCATGATCAGCAATTTCAAATGCATGAGGGTAATCAAGTTAGTGTGAGACTGAAAAGCCTCCATTGGTTTTTATTAGGGGGAAAGACTTAGTGATCATAGAAAGACCAACACAAGCAAAATGGTAGCAAAAACCAGCGGGTTCAGGACAGAAATAGAGGGGAGCAAATGGAAAGATCGAATAAAGCCCACTCTTTTTAGAAGCTTGCTGTTGAAAAGGAATAGAGAAGGGTAGTTTGAAGAAATTAATCAGCTTACCTCGCACTTCTATACATGAGTAGACTTCTACATGTAGGAGGAGACTTTTACTGATGTTAATGTGAAACAGCCTTCAACATCCACTTTGAGAGAAGGGCGTCTGTAGAGAGAGGAGTTAGGGTTTTAGAGGTTCACTGATGGACACAGATCCTAGCTGAGAAAGGAGGGGCAGGGAGGAAGACCACTCAGTTGTGTCAACAGTAAGACCATCCATCATGTACAAATATTTCTAGCACAGAAAACTCAAAGTGCAGGGAGTAAGTAGAGACTTGGGGAGCTGCTTGAACAAGGTGACTGCCCCTTGTGCCGCAGCAGCATAAGGACATCAGTGGAACCCAGGGCAGTCCTAGCAGGCAGTAGATGTCAAACAGCTCATGGACCAGAGGCTGAGATGATTAGAATTTTTTATTCAGACACCTAGAGCTGTTAATAATTCAGTATATCCAGTAACTTTCTGGGAAGCTGATGAGTTAAGGGGAAAAAACTTGGGATAGTAGAACAGATTTATTTTGTCAAAGTACAAAACATTTAATGAGTGTATCATTGTAAATTGGTCTCCCTGTTTCTTAACAGGGTTTAGAGGATAAAAATAAGAAGGAACTTTGGGGCTTTTCTCTACAGTCCAACTTTACATCCCACTGGGTCACATGTGTCTAAGGTAAAAGGCTTCTGTACTTAGAGCTATCTGTAAGCCCAAAGTGAATGTTTGTCATTGATCCATATTTCAGGCACTGGCTTCAATACAAAATGCAGATGCTCTCATCAAATTTCACTGGTTTATTTTATAACATTATTTTATGCATTTACTTAAATATCATTTATTAAATACCAGTTATATTGCAGACACTGTGATAGATTTGATGATACAAAAAATAAACTTATTGGGTCATTCTTGAAAAGGACCCATTTTTTATATTGTATTTTCAAAATTTCTTAAAAAGTTGGATAGTCACTTAGGGATGAACCTAATTCTACTAAGTCATTAACCTCTGCATTCTAGAAATGAGGAACCAAGTAATGGACTCCCTATATTCCTTAGCAGAGGCATAGGTCAGTATTAGAAAACAGGGCCCAGGATTTCCAGTTCTAGCACCGAGGTAGTTAGACCCCAGGTCACAAACAAAACTTCCAAGATGAGACTGTTTCAAGAAGAAAACAAAGCAAAAATAATCTGCAACCTCAGCAGCCATCTCAGAAAATTTATTTAAATTCAATAGAATAAATCCTAAGTAAGAAAGAAGTTCCTAGGATGATAAATATCATTTTGTTGCCAATAGAATCATACTGTATCTAAAGATGATTATACAAAATATTCTAAAAATATTTCCCAAAACATTCAAAGATGTTCTAATGGAAAAAAATCATTGGGACTGGTATATCATTTTTAAGAAAAATCAGAAAAGATTTATAGGCATTGTAAAATACTGTAGCTCTGGAAAAAATATTATAAAAAGGAAAAAATGTGGGTACTGGATATGTGTATAATATCTGATAACAGTATTAAAATTATTAAATGAATTAGCAGTGGAAAAATAGGTTACCTAGCATTTCTCAGACCTTTAAATATGTATTGCCTATTTCTCCATTTGAAAAGTTGAGTATATAGGGTCTGTTTAAAAAAAACATTCTATTGAGATAGAATTTATGTACCATAAGACTCACCCATTTTAAGTGTACAATTCAATGAATTTTAGTATATTTACAGAATTTTTCAACCATCACCACATCTAATTTTAGAATAGCCCCATCACCTTAAAAAGAAACCTTATGCCTATTTACCATCACTAATGGGGTTTTTAATAATAATTTTGGAAACAACATTCAATGGTTTGGTACTCTACAAAATGGTATTCATATAAAAATTATGATTGGAAAATCAGTTTGATATTTCAGCACATGACTGTCCCTATCTAAAATATTCACTTTTGGAAACATCTGGATAATCCTTTATAGAACTTGATATGAGAAGTTCCAGACATGATAAAGCGAAATCTTGATGCATATTTCATAATAATTGTCAGTTATCTTTTTTTAGCCACTCAGCTCTGAATTTACCCTTTTTGCCCACTTGGTAAAAGTAGATCTGAGCCTTTAAATAGGTTTTCTTGCCAGCTGGCACAATGTTAAATTTTGTTAGTAGAGGGCACTGGAGAGACACTGCAGAAGGGAAGGGTTTTGCATCCTGGTTCTAGTATCATCACTTGGCAGGTTCGTGCAGCATGGATGGCTTCTCCAGCACCAAGCTCCACAGCATACACTGGTCCTGCAGTACATAGTGACCAGCAACTTCCCCTGGCAGCCCAGTATCCAGTATCATAGCTAAATGCCTCTTATGAGATACTCTCCTGTGTACAGCTTTCTCCATCACCTTAGGGTGCAGATTTCCTGCAAGTTCTGCTAGCAGGGCTCCACAAAGACTTCTTTGCCATCGAGTGAGCCAAGGCCATGTTGTCTCCAAAAGATCTGGGTTTCAGCTCTGAGTGTGAGGGACCAGAGAACTCTTCCTTGGGTGTTTTCTCTCAGCACCAGGGAGAGTAGCTACACTATATTGTATTATTTCTGATATTATATTATGTATCTTTAATTCTTACATTCATTAAAGTTCTCTTAACTTCTTACTAGCCAGTCCCTCATTACTAAAATCCCATTATACTGAATAATTATTTATATTAAAATTTCCCTGCTCAAATTACTACTTGGTTTCCCTCCCTGATTAGAGGCAGAGTGGATATAAAAATATATTGTGAGCCAGAAATATGTTTTTTTTAAAAAAAAAAAGCATTCCTTTTTCAAAAGACAGTTTACTTTAACATCTACTTACTATAGACCAATAAGTGTATGTAATACCTAGAAAGCTATGTCTCAGTTTAGAAGAGGATCTATACAAATCCTGGAAGAAAAAAAAAAGTCATAATGCTGAGTTGTGGTAGACCCGACACTGGATCAGAACTGACGTAGACCTGAGAATCTATTGATAATTTCAGCCACTGTTCTAATTATCTACAGCTATGTAACAAGCAACTCTCAAACTTAGGGCCTTAAAATAACAACCAATCTATTTCAATGGTTTTGAGGGTCAGTAATAAGAGCAGGCCTTGCTGATAAATCTTTCTGTTCCATGTGGGACTAAAAGAGGCTACTTGGTGGCACTCAGTTGGAGCCTGGGCTAGCCTAGAGGGTCCTAGACAGCTTCACTCACATTTCTGGCACCTTGGGGAGACACCTGGAGAGCTGAGCTCAGCTGGGACTGTCGATCTAAACACCTACTCCTGGCCATTCCAAGGTGGCAGCTTCAGGATAGTCAAACTCCTTACATGACACCTCAGAGCTCCAAGAGTGAGTCTTCTAGTGAATGCGGTAATAGCTGCCCGGCATTTTAAGATTCAACCTTAGAAGGCACCTAACTTGCTTCTCTGGTCACTAACTATCCTGGTTTGTCTAGTTCTGAAGAGTTTCTTGGGGGCTTTCCAGTGCTAAAACCCAGAGAGTCCCGGGAAACCTAGAACAGTTGGCTGCCCTCGTGCCAAACTGTCTCAGTCCAAGCAGTCACAGGCCCACTCAGATTCACGGGGAGGGAACAGAGATCCATCGGGGGGGGGGGTCCTCTGAGAGAGTGTCCAAAAATTTGAAACTATGTCTTCAAAAACACCCAGCCAGTTAATCTAAGGCTCAATTTCCTTACTTAAAAGAAATAAGAGATCTGTAGAAAGCAGCTTCTAAACTTTGATTCTATCAATGGGAGACAGAAAAGATGTCAAAAACGCTGGCTGGGCTACAACAAACTCACTGTGCATTTTGGTTGCAAATACATTACTGTATTCAAAAAGAGTCTCACATCACTTTTTTTCTGATTTACTTGTTAAACTTCACAATGTGTGTACTTATGGCTGTTTTTTAAATGAATCTTGCTTAGCAAACCTGAGACTCTTCTGTCAGACTCTTACTTGTCTCTAATTCGGAGAATTTGTCTTGCTTCTGTTCTTTCTTCCGTTATCTCTGTTCTACCTATCTGGGAGTCCTAGTGAATAAATGCTAAAACTTCTGGCTGTATCTTCTGTATTTCTTAACTATCTTCTCATACTTTCCATGTTTTGGTCTGGATTAGTTTGCCAGGCCTGCCATAATAAAATACCACAGACAGGATGGCTTAAACTACAGAACTTTGTTTTCTCACAATTGTGGAGACTGGAAGATCAAGGCCGCTCTCCTTGGCTTGCAGATGGCTGCCATCTTGCTGTGTCCTCCCATGGCCTCTCCTCTGGTATGTCTTTGTGTGTGCTCAAATTTCCTCTTATTATAAGGACACCAGTCAGACTTCACTAAGGCCCACTCATATGACCTAATTTAACCTTAATTTCCTCTTTAAAGGCGGTATCTCCAAACATAGTCATATTCTGACTATGTGACTGGCTAGGTCTTTTGACGTATGAATTTGGGGGGAAAGACATTTCAGCCCATCACACTGTCCTTTTGTCCTGCATTCTGGTAGAGATACTGGAATCAATGTCTCTGCCCCTTGATTGGATTATATCATATCCATTCTACTACTTCTCTTATCGAGGATTTTTATCTCAATAATCATAACATTTTATTGAAGTACAGTTGGTTTAAAATATGTTATAATTTCAGGTGTACAGCAGTGATTTGGTATTTCTGCAGATTATACTCCATTATGTTATAACAAGCTAACAGCTATAATTCCCTGTACTACACAGTACATCCTTGTTGCTTATCTATTTTATATATAGTAGTCTGTATCTGTTAATCCCTAAATTGTCACTACTTCGTCCCTCCCCCTTCAATAATCCTAATTTTCACTTCTGAAAATTTTAATGTTCCTTTTTCATATCAGCCTATTCTTTCACGAATATGCTCTTGAATTTTTCACAATACTAATTTTTTTTTCTAGTTTAAACACACAATTCTATTATTTGAGACTTTTCCCTCAGGATTTCATTCTTCTGTTTCCTGAATTCAAGGCCTCTTTTTCAAAATGTTTTCCTTCAAATATCTGGTGCAATCTCGCCCTCTGGGAAGGAAGAATATACTCCTGGCTTCTCCTCTGGGCTGAAAGCTCCTCTTGGCATTTGTAAGCTACCT